TGAAGTGTTGGCTCTCAGATGAGCCTTTTCCTGCAGCAGCAGCTGACCAGGGCTACAGCGCCTTGGTCTGGATCCATGGATGGCAGCTGCACCTGCCAAGACAGACTTGTGTATGGGCTCGTGGTCGTTACCTGCCTAAAACAGTAAGAAATGGCAAGTGTATGTGTAAAAGTTAGGAAACTTTTTGGGTTTTTACCAGAATATATTCTGTACACCAGGCTCTTCCCTTCCTCTCTCATTCCCTCCTCCACCGCGGTCGGTTCGGCCGCTGACCGTGCGGAGGGTTTGTGTGTGTGAGTAGAAGGGGATGGGGAACGGGTCCTGCCCTCCTCAGAACGGGGTTTCTGCCAGAGCAAGGGAAGGAGCAGCTGCCTGCTTCCTTGCAAACACTGCTCTTCCGTTTTTGGGGTTTACACAAAAAGAATGAGGTAGTAAAGGTAGGTCTGATACTTACAGGTTCTTGATTGAGGCCCGGTGGTGGTGCAGAGCTGTTGGGAAACTCCAGGATGATAATAAATAAGATCACAGGGTTTGAAATAGCGTAATTTTTGTTTTGTTTGGGTCACCGCTTGTTGCTATGACGCTGCAAGTATTTCAGTGTTTTGTGGTTTCAGGAAACCATGAAGACTGCCTTTATTTCCGGATTTCTGTTCAGGTGATGATCTGTATTAATTGATTTCTGCCTCTGATGTTGTCCTTCACGCCTTAAAAACAAACAAACAAAAAAAAAACACCCACAGAGTAAATGGAAGGCATAACTCCTCTGAGAAGCTGTGTCTGCTACAGGAGCTATACTGGTATGCCCAAGCTGTCCTCTGGGGGCTTTACTGGGTGGTTTTTGCATATGGTTCAATTCCACAAATACCCTGTCGCCAGGAATACACAGGCACGCCAGGCTGTGCATGATGGCTCATCACCCAGGCTCTCAAGCAACCAGCAATTCCAAACCCTTCATCACGTTTTAGTTGCACTAATTTTTAGTGTTTCATGCACTTGGTGTGTCTGCTGTGTTTATCTACATAAGAATTTGTTGAGTATTTTCTGAAAATACTGAAGAATGGTGTTTTCCCCACTCTTACAGGGGAGCAGACAAGCGGAGGAGGATTGCCCGGAGCCGCGCAGCCGGCAGGTTAGTGTGGGACTCTCCTACTCAGCCTCCCAGATCACGCTGTCTAGCTAGCTCTTGGTTTTTTTTGACTTTTAGTTTATCAATTTGGATTTTAAGTGCTCCCTCAGAGCTGTTACATACCAGATTGGACTTTTTTAGACGTAAACAGAGAGACTGGGGAGAAAAGAGATGAAAAGCAAGATGGTTATGAGTGCATGAGAACTCCCACAGGACATGTGATTGCATTTTTAGCAGCTTGAAAATAGGCTTATGTGGGACAAATCCTCCTTCCACAGGCAGGCTGTGGCACCTGGTCGTGGCAAAGCTGATCTTGTCAGCAATTGCTTCCAATGTCCCTTTTGCATTCCTCCTTCGGGGTTTGCGTATGCCGGAGTATGGCTGGGGGAAACCACCCCGGTTAGCAAACGCGCCTGCGACAGGTCGGGCTGCATTTTTGCTGCAGCAGACGAGCGTGTGTGGCTCACCCTTTGCTAGGGTGGGCCCAAAGGCAAGCCACAAGTATGTGTTGAGCATCCAGATTGCTGGCTGAAGAGACACTCTTTAATGCCAACTGATGTGGGCCAACAGAGGGATGTCTTCTCCTGCCTTACTACCACCTTACAGTAGCTTCTCTTGCTTCTGTTTTTCCTGCTCCCGTGTCTCGTCTGAGACAGCAGCTCAACCTGCCCAACTCCTCTAGCTCCACCACTGATGGCATCTTCACCTGCTGATCCTTTTGCAAAAATGCCAAGTGTAAATGGCTCTACTTCAGTAGGAAAACGCTTTTCCTGCTTGGTGCCAACATGACACTGGCTACAAGTACCTCTCATCTGTCATTCTTGCTGCTGGGTGGTGACTTTGCAGGTGTTTTGGTGGTGACCGTCTCTTCTACCAGGGTGTTCCTGCGGGTCTCTTGTACCTCTGGAGAGACCCCAATGGATGTAAAGCTGTTTGAGTTTTGTTTCTTCGAGTCCTGGAACTGAATCTAGGCTTTCTGAAGGACAGCATAATTGCTTTAAAAAAAAAAAAACCAACAACAAACACTTTTAAGGATATTTATATGAGCAAACACCACACATTGACTCATGCTTGGGCAATAACTCTTGCTTAACCATGGTCCTGTTGGGTGGCAACAGCAATGAGCTGAGAAATGACTGTGCCATCTGCATGAATCCTCGCCCTGCAAAGTGTTTGTTCCTCACCACTGAGATCCCAGGCTCCGTCCCGCCTAGCAGTAAGTCCTGCTGGCCTCTGCAAAGCCCCATTCTCTGGGCAGTCTCTGTTCCCACGCACGGATGCCCAGCCCAGCTCAGCTCTTCATGCAATCCAGCTCACCCAGCATGGTCTACCCAAACATCTAAAATCTGTGTTTCTAAAGCAAGAACCCTTCCCAGCACACTAGTGAGAGGACTGTAGTTCTTCAGGCACTTTGGGGAGATGGTCAGTGGCCGATGGTGCCATTTGGTGGCTGCATATGAACCAGGGCTCGTGTGTGTGGTGGGACCTGGGTGCCACTTGGCCCCACTGCAGTGGGTAGGGGGGTGCTGTGGACGTGTGTGAGCTGCCACTGGATGTCACTGTGGCTTTATGGCACTCTGAGCTCGGGAAGGGCGATGGGTCCCTGCGCTGAACGCCCTGAGGGTGGTGGGATGGTACCTTGGAGCCAGACTGAGAGCGGCTGCTCGTGCTGCACGTCTGCTGGGTGATCCCAGAGAGAAAAATCACCGTGGTGTTGCCAGTGGTCAGGCTGTCGGGCTTTTTCTTTTTAAAAAACCCACCAAACTTCCAGAGCCTCCGGCAGCCCAGAAAGCTCGTTTCCTTACTCTCCCAGGCCGAGGTGTGGGGCTGGCTCCTACAGCTGTCGGCAGCGTGCGGGAGCCGGCTGATGGCCAAGGCAGATGATGCTCTGTTCTAGCTCTAAGGTGAGAAGTGGGTCTAAAAACAGAGAGTTGGGACCAGTGTTTAAATTCAAATGTGGCTGTGGTGTTGTGTTGGTTTTGGGGTTTTTTAAATAATTACAATAAGCCTAAAAGCCCAAATATGAGGGAAGGACATAGATCCCTGATTCTAAGATGACTGGTGAGCAAGGCTAGCAGACAGCTGCTTGCTGGCCTCTCTCCTTTAACAAAACTCACAAAATTATCAAATTACCATGCTGACAACCTCAATTGCTTACTAATTACCCATCGATTCCGTATTTTTATGCTCACTCATCTAAATAATGAGGCGTTTCCAAATAATCTATTTCTGGTGTGCAGAATGTGCCAGTCCCCCACCCCCCCACCCCGGATCCGCAGCCTGTTTGTGCTCCAGCAGGGAGCCGGCTGCAGTTCCCTTCCCACAAAGGGCAAAGATGCTGATTTTTCTCCCACTTGTCTTGCGTAACAAAAGGCATTTGTCAACCGTTACATAACGGCAGAATTTGTCACTTCTTCTGCCCGCCTCGTCCCCGACGCTCCCGCGCTGGCTGCTCCTCGGCACGCGCTGGAGCATCCTGATAGTGCACCACGCAGCGTGACTAATGCTTATCACTCACTATTTTTCTTTTCTTCTTTTTTTTTTTTTTCCCCCCTGCTCGTTGGCAAGGAAGATGTAGGACTGTGTGTTCTGGTTGTGGTTTTTATTTAAGGGAGCAAAAGGATGAGAAGGTGTTTGGAGAAGGTTATTTGCTTTTTAATACTCGTTCCGAGGTGGCAATGGGGAGCTACCCTTAGCCACCAGCCCTGCGGGAGCAGCAGGGCTTGTCCTTAGCCAAGGTCATGTCCTGGGCTTGGCCCAGCCTCCCAGAAGGGCCGTGCTGGAAATGGAGCTGGATTCATCCTCCGCAGTGCTGGCAAGTTTAAGGGAGCAAGAACGCCTGTCGCCGCCTGCCTCTGGAGCTGCCAGTTGCTTTTTTTAATATCTCCCAATTAATTTCAGGCGTCTCATGCCAGCAACAGGATTTTGTTTGGTTTATGATAGGTTTGATTTCCTCATTGTTGGAGTATCTTTTTAGAGCCTTAAAAACAAATAAACGGTTTTGCTTCCCCGTAAACTAAAAGCAAAAACTGCATGGCTGGCTTCCCCCTTTCTCCCTAACTGGAAAGGAGAGCGCTGTTTACCTGCAGCCCCAAACTTATTTATGGCCTTACCACTGCCAGCTATCAGATGACCACAGCTCCCTTTTTAACACGAAGCAAGCAGTGCTCCAGGGACCCAACAACATCTCGCCTGCTGCTCTTCTCTAACTTACCCAAAACAATTTCCTAGTTGGCTCCTTTTTTTTTTTTTTCATTGTAGATCTGTTTTAAATATCTTTTTAATAACTTCTTGAAGTTAAAGGTCTTGTGGACCTTTGAACTTCCTGGTATACTCAGCCTTTGCTCAGGAGATATGTTTACGGTTGGCTATGGGTGTGCTTAAATAGGTTAACCCTTTGGAGTTGGTGTTCTCAGGGAAACTGTTCATTAAAGTTGCCTTGTGTAGCTGATGCTCAGGCACAGAAGTGATCTTTGGCAAATTTGGCTTTATCTCAACTACTTGCTTGTTTTAAAGTTTAAAACTTACATCATCAGATAAAACTATGGATCAGATTTCATCTGTAAAGCATGACTGGAAATATGGGATCAGCAAACAGCTCCAAAAATTGTAAAGCACAGTGCTGGGGACACCAGCTCAGCTTCCCCGAGCTAGCCAGGGAAGGCTACTGCTGGTGGCGATAGCTCAGTGCCCACGTTATGGCAGGAACCAGCAGTATCTGCAGGATTCATGGCCTTTTTGATAAAGAGACTTCTCAGTAGCAAGTTTCTCCTTTGACATGGATCAACCCATGTAAGCTACATGGTATAGTTATCCCCTTGAAGTTACTAGAGCAGGAACACCTCAAGGGGTACTAACTGTCCTGTTTGCTTACCAGAAACTTGTCCATTCGATTGTTCTTGAGGTACTTATACAGCTTCTGCAGCTGCTTTGCATCCGTCTCTGAGAAGAGGGAGACGAACCGCCAGAACATCCTTGGGAAGACAGACACACAGATTGTGCGTGTGAGTACGAACTTCATCCTTTCTCAGTCTGCTCCCTAGCTCTGGCTTGGTGAGTGTAACCACTGACATACTCTTTGCACAGCTTTTTTCTTTTGTTTATTTTCCCTCCCAAAGGCTTAAATTTTTAAAGAACTGCTCATCCCTAAGCATAGGAAGGGTTATCTATTAACTCAGGTGGCTACGCAGGAGCCCTTTTACTTGCAAAGGGATGTTGCTGGTGGGCAGCACAACAGAACTGGCGTTGTGCTGGACAGACTGGGTACCTTGTGGCCTCTGCTAAAATTACCTACCATATCTGCGAGTATTTGGCAGTTGAAGCAAGCTATACAAATCTCCTGTAGATACCCAATCTGATTCCCAGTGTTTGGAAACACAGGGCCAAAGTAGGTGTCTAAATGCTTGCTGGGAGCAGCAGTGTCAGGAGCCCATCAACACTGGGAGCATTGCCAGTATGGTAGCACCGGTGCAGGGTAGGGGAAATCCTTACTTCTGCCAGTGCTTGACTTCCGAGGCTCTGCAGTACCGCTGGAGAAACAGATCGATGCGTTCCCCGATTATGGTCAAACTTTTCCTCGTGTACTTCAGTTTTTCCTCCTTGGGGAGGTGCTGGGGCAAATGCAGTTTCCGAAGTGACTTCTTAAAGGGTCTCAAAAGCTCCTTGCACTGTGAAGAAAAAGTGTTGGCAGTGTTCAGCACTTTAAATCCAAGTCTCAGGCATTCCCTTTCACTAAATAAACTGATTAAATAGCTGGGAAAGCACTGAAGGAGCATTGTGTTTTGGTGAGTGTGTCTGTGTAGACATGGGGGAGCTGATATGGGTCTTCAGCA